ACTGCTAAACCCTAACTGACTAAATTGTATTTTAGTTTAATATAGTTTGAAACCTAGTTATTTCCATCGGAGTTTGCATCCTTTGTGTATATATTGATTATATATAACTTGTGGAATTTAAATGTTGTGTGACATGTGATTCATGTGCATCAACCTGTCTCGATCTTCTAAGTATTGATTATACTTGATCCGATTATTTGTGTATGTTTATGTTTGCATATGTTTATGTTTGTATATGTTTATGTTTGTATATTTCCCAAATATTCTATTGTAGTTTATGTCTTTGTGGGTGTGATATTCATAATCACTTATCTTCTATTTTGATTGTTGGCTGTGATTCCCATGTCTATCGTTGCAAGTACATTTCCATGCTCTTGATCGGATATGTCTTCGGGGCCTTATCCTTATGGGATTCATATTTTCGTGCGTGTTACCTTCATCCATCAAACTTGTTTGTGCGTGAGTCTTGTATGTCTATCCACGACTTATATGTTATATGTGTATATGATGGTTGGTAATGGTTGTGATGAATTGACTTATTGATGAATTGACTTATTTCTGATGTTTCTTGCGATGTGAATATACAAGTCTTACTCTTCTGAGGTTAATTATGTCTTGTATTTGTCTAGTAAGTATGCGAATATCGTGGAGTGTTTGTGTACGCTGTACTACTCCTATGGATTCCAAGATCCCCCAAGTGACTTAGGTGCCCAATTGATCTATTAGTTTCCTTTGCGATCAATCTCTTTGCCCTTTGTAAATACCGAAGCCCCAATAATTGTACTGGGTTCTTTGGCCTCTTTTTGTAATATCTCCGGTGTCTCATTCGTATTGCACCCTCTAATTGCTTCGCTTCTATGAATGTTCTTATAGATTTCTTGATATAAATTCTATCTAGTGATTTCTATTTGTCTTGGTAGTGATTCTGCTGATTCTTTGTTTGAATTCTTCTGAGTGACTTCTAAGATTATTTGTTGGACTAAATTCTTCGACTGTGTACCTGATAGGCCTCAGTCTTTCCTAGTTATTGTTTGTTAGTGTTTAGTAATGCCTATCCGATCTTATTTGCTCTATTGTATAGTAGCTAGTCTTTCTCTTACTTGTGTCTTAGTGTCTCTGGTGTGGAGGCATATTATTGTTTGAAAATCCCCAACATCAATAATAAACCACTTTGACACTTTTTACTTTTTTTCACACTGAGAGTCTGTTAACATTCACTTCACAATCTGTAACACCTATGACACGTGTTCAGCTTACTTCTGAACCACGATGTATTCACCTTGGTTGTCGACCTAAGGTTCTTTTTTTGTTGCGGAGTCTCTTGCTCCACTTGCTTCCTTGTCTCTTGGGTTTCTCGTCTCTCTTCTTCGAAGTGCACTCCTCTGTCTCTTAATAATAACTGCTAGAATATTTTTAAAATTCTATGCAAGACAAGAATTTGTTTCACATCTACTAACCTCTTATGTGTGACCTTTAGTATATGACTATTCTGTTGACTTAACTGAATAAGGATATTGTAAAAAATCTAGAGTATGGAGAGTAGCTGAAAGGTACACGATAAGGGATACAATAGATATCTTCTCAAGTACGGTTATCTCAGCTAGGAAAAGTCCCTAGACTGAGAGAACCGAACTGAGTCTTTATTTGTGTTTTCACTAGACTTAGGTTTACTTGAGTGTTTCTCTCACACGCGGGAGTCCCGGTATAGCTTACCGATTCTACCGCTAATATTTCTGATGACTCTAATATCAGAAATATTCCAATTCTAATTCCAAAACTCAGTATTTGATTATTCTGGGGTTTGGGTTTTGGATTGGCTTTTTGATAATCTGGTCCCTAGATGCTACAAGGAGCGTTACCGCAACTCAGACAAAGAGTCTATACACTTACAAATCCTCAAGGTCATAAGATACCAAGCACTTACGTACTATGGACAACAGGAGAAAGTAGACGCCATCATCAAGGTAAACAAACAGCCTGATGGAGGTGAAAGCCACTTATCTGATATGAAACATACTGTGTTTCACTCTCTTACTGAAGCAACCATACGAGCAGCAGCAAAAGTACAGGCAGATCGATTATATATAGAGCGCAAGCGACACAGCTCGCTGACAACCACTCACAGCCAGTCTCAAACTGGCGCAACCACTGCGACCAAACGGCACAACCCGGACAATGGCGCGCCTAAGCAAACCAAACAAATAGAGCAAACCCAAGAAAAGAAAGGGGCACGCAAGGAGCTGCATGACCTTATTGTGTAAGGTGATGCCAGCCCCACATCGTCTCAGCCAATGTCCCATGAAGGCATCGAATCAGAACAAGCAGGCTGAGGAGGGTGTCAAGAACGATGTGCAAGTAGCACGATAGTCCATTAGCTCCGGCAAGGTAGAAGACATCACAGATGGTGATGAGCACTGAAACAACTGGTGGGCGGAAGCAAACATGATTGACCTGGCTGACAGACTTAATGTGTACAAATACAGATGAAGAAACGTCCTTAATAAAGGCAAATAATATAAATTATCAACCTTTATCCTCACTTCCCGCACCACGAGACCAACGAATACACATTGAAATACGAATCAATGGCAACACATACAATGCACTAGTAGACTCTGGCACACAACGTTCATGCATGGACAAGAGTATAGTAACTGAACTATACCTCTCTGTCAGAGCACAAACAGTCTATATACAACTAGCACAAACAGATGCCAGAGTACAAAGAACAGGGTCAACACAAGTAAGTGACATTAAATATGGAAGAAGAAAAACCTCTCAGTGTTTTGAAGTGTTGGACCTACCAGCCAAGAAGGTACCAATACTTCCAGGTATGAACATTCTACCATACATAGGTATACACATAGCAGGATTAATCAATCCACAGATGCAAAATGGGAATTAACCAACAGATGCAAAATGGGAATCACTTCTCACGCTACATGAAGACGATCTTAAGCATGAACAAGAAAGGTTCAGAAAGTCACTTGCGGACCTCTTAGATACCCATGCAAACATACCTCCTGACGTACATTGCAACCTACCTGGCTCCACAGTCACAGTACCTGCAAAT